CTAGTGATTATACTTCTAGTCTCCCATCTGGCTTTTCCTCCCACTTTTCTAGAATTACTTCTTTGAGCCACACTGCTCACGCTTTCCTTTGTGAGCACGGGTATGAACTGGTAAGGCTGATTATTGAAGGCTACTGATATTTACTTAAAGGACTTAATGGTTTGCTCTCTAGCCAAAGTGGCTTAGTGACATATCAACAATCTTCTTTTCAGCCTATACTAATAATGTTCTGTCAATGCACAAAAACAATAGATACCTCTTCTTTTGATGTCAGTTTATGCTGTGTTGGCAGATACCATCTGCTTTTGTATCTGTAGCACTGCCTTGGTGATAGTCTTTGTTAAGTGAATGAATACTGGCACTTTAAGGTACTTAACATATTTTGCACTTTTATTGTAGTTGCCAGATTGTGTCCCCTATGAAATGATGAACTCAAGGAAAGAGGTGGGACCTTACTTATCTTCCTCTGACATACAACTCTTTCTTATATTCTTGTAGGTGTTCAGGAAATTTTAAATTGAATTTCCTAGGTGATTGTGTTCACACATTATTGCTTTCTGCCTTTATCTTAACTGTCTTTCTGGAAAACTTCATGTAATAATTCTCAAAATAATGTTCCTAACTTTAATAAGACTTATATCCTCTGAGTATTACAGAAACTAGTAGTTGTGTCTAAACTCCCTTTCCAGAGGCTGTATATAAATTATCCATTTTCTCCTTCACAATGCATGGCACATGAGTACTCAATAAATATTCATTGGTTAAATTTAATGTTACCCCACCCAAGCTGTGAAACCTATTAAGATTCCTTTTGATAACCTCTGAGGCAAAATGGAGATGAATATAGCGGAGTGTCTGGCGAGGGTGGTGTGTTTCACATAGGGACATCCATAGACATTTTAACTGTTATTTATCGATTTACACACATACAGATTGATTTGCATACATCTCAGACTGGTTTTTAGCAAAGTATTGGGGAACCCAAGTTCCTTTTATATCTGCTGTTGTGAATTTGCCAAACAGTTGATAAGCTTTAAGCAGAATCGTTGGTCTTTATTTTTTTTAATTGAGTTTATTCGTACATTTTAGGTATACAGTACAGTTACATTCATTATTGGGATCTTGTACCTTTACATGACAGGTCTTGGTTCTCATTTTTTCCCCTTGTCGTTTGTCTTCAAAAAATATAATTTAGCTAGCAGAAAGGGCAGAGTCTGCCCTTGATTGGAACACCTGAGTTTGTATCCCATCTCTGGCACTGTGTGACCTTAAAGGAAACCTATTTGTGGTGTAATTTAGCTATGTGTGAAAGTAAGAAAACTAAATATTGCTCTGAGTTTTTTAGAGGGTTATAAAAGAGATGTATGTAGAGTTTTGCTTTTCAGCAAGTGCTGGCCTTATTAACTTTACCAAGTTCTACAGTGTTTTATAAAGCAAAATCAAGATATGATATGGAAAAAGTTTTAATTATTTCCCTTTAGCTATGCATGGATTTATTTGTAGAGCTTTACAGAGGCCTACCATTCAGTTGCTTTTAGCCCCACTGAATCATCTTTAAGGGGAAATGATTAAAACATGCAGTGTCAATACTGGTGGCTTGCAAAATCTGGGAGGTACTGTTAGTTACAGTTACTAAGAACTACCACTGGTTTGATGAGAGGTGTGCTAAAACAGAGAACCCACCCACCTGTTTTAGGTATATTAGTAGAATTAGTAGAAGGAGACTTGTGATTAGTTTGTCGGAACATTGAGCATTCTGATTTAATGATTGTTCAGTTTAGGTTGGACTGGGAGGTTATGATTTTTGAGTTCTTGTTCTCAGCAAAGTGGGTGATTTTGTCCTTTAACAGAATAAGCAAGATTTTCTTCTGGGTTGCATTGTTGCTCAGTGAAGTAAGTTGACAATAGGGCGGTAGGAAACCTGTTGGTCAGGAAAGAGCTTATTATCCTTTAAGTTTCTACTTGATCACAATTGCTTAACAGGAAGTTTGTCTTTGTAGGCAAATGAGAGACAGACCAGGAAGACCTGACAATCCAGTAGGTTATCTCTAACTTTGATCTTACTGTTTTGAAGAAGCTCAAAGATGGTAGAGTTCTGTGATGTCAGCAGGCAGCGTTTTAGGAAATTCCCTCATGGTTAGTCAACAGTGAAGATGCTCACTGGGTGGAGAGAACTGAAATGGAAACATGGGGATATTAACATGGAAAATAAAAAAAAAAAAGGAAAGTCTGTGAGCAGTTAAGTGTGCAAATATAAAAATAATGAATGTAGGAAACCATTCTCTGGTAGAAAGCCTCTTGGTCCCAGAAGAAAAAGAAAAATCAAGTGAGAGCTCTATTATTGAGAAAAAGAAACTTGAATACTTTATAATTTTGATTTTTTTTTTTTTTTTGGTGGTGCTGGGAATTGAACCTAAGGAGTGCTGAGCAGAGCCACATCTCCAGTCCTTTTAAAATTATATTTTGAGGTAGGGTCTTCTTCTCTTCCTCCTCCTCCTCCTCGTCTTCCCCCTTCTCCACCTCCTCCCCCCTTCTCCTCTTCCCACCCCCTCCTTTTTGGTACTGGAGATCGAACTCAGGACCTTGTGCTTGCTAGGCAGGTGCTGTGCTGCTGAGTTACATCCTGGCCCGAGGTAGGGTCTTCTTAAATTGAGCAGGTTGGCCTTGAGTTTGAGATCCTTCTGCCTTAGCCTTTCTGGTAGCTGGTATCACAGGTATGTGCCTCTTGCTTAGCTTAATTTTAATTTTTTAACAGTTAAATTGAGAAATTTTTTTTAAAAACCAGTTTTGAGAACTAATCATAAAGTATTCATTAATTCTCTGAAATTACTACTTGAGGCCTGGAGTGGTGCACATGCCTGTAATCCCAGCTTTTGGGGACGCTGAGGCAGGAGGATTGCTGGAAGTTCAAGGCCAACCTGGGCTAGTGAATTTAAGGCCAGCCTGAACTGCATAGTGAGGCCTTGTTTCATTTAAAAAAAGGAAAAGAAAAAAAAAATCTGTGCTTTGAGATTACTACTTGAGACAGAAAAAAGGGACAGAGGACAGGAAGAACTCAGTTCAGATACTTCTAGTCTGGCATCTGTTAATCTTTGTATCTCTAGCATAAGGCTTGCCACCAGTTAGGCATTGAGGAAAACATTTTTTTTGAAAGAAGGGAAAAAATTAACTCACTAGTACAGAGAAAAGGCTTGAGGATTCAAAATGTTCAGAAATGAGTGTTTAATTATTGTAGTTGTGTTTTGCTGTCACTTATTCTGCATTTTGGATATAACAGTAAATTATATTTTGAAAAGCTTAGTATGTTGCTTTATCCATTAGCTCCTAACCATGGCTTATTCACTACTTTTATCAAAATTGGATTCTGAGGTTGTTCTTGATTCAAGAGTAGTATCACTTACTGGGAAAACTTTTTACTCATTTTCCCCCCTGGGGGTTTACTCACATGATCTCTTTTAAGTAAGTATTAAGATATTTTCATCTACATTTTATGGCGAGGTTCATCATAGACTGGTGTTCCAGTCAGTTCAATTGCTTTGCCTACTGTGTGAAAAATCAGAATATCCTTGCTCATTCATTGACTGTGGACTAATAGCAAATCTTAGAAAATCATAGAATTAAAAAGTGTTTGGATTGTCACAGATACTAGATGCTGATTTTGATGCTAAATACAAGGACTGCTGAAGCACTATTATAATGTGTTTGGTTTTAACATTAATATTGTGGGCCTTAGAACTACCTGGCTCTTTGGTAATGAAGTGCTTTTTAGTGGCAAGATCTAGGGAGTTTACCTTTTCTTGACTGGTAGACTCGGGCTGAGCTAGTCTGGAGTTTTTATTCTGTATTTTTATAGTTCTCTGTTTCTGTGTTCATTAACTTAGGACCTTTGATAGTAAAGCTTAGTTTCTTCTGTCCCAGGAATCATGGCCTTTCTGATCCTGGGACTTGGGAGACAGCCCCTGTGAAAAGGGTGTGGGCTTTGTCACATAGTGGACATGGTACTCTGGGAAAGTTATTTCTTTTTGCTTTTCTTTTTTCAAGAATTAAAGTACAAGTAATTAATATAAAGGGCTGGCCCATTAGTAATCCTTCAATTAGAGGTTGGTATTATTATAATTACTGTCCTGCAGGAGCATTTTGGCAGTAGTGTGGCAATCAAGGAAATAGCAGATTTATGTGCAAGTGAGTTCAGTCTTTTAAGTTTTTATCTGGGTCATCCTGTTGAATGCCTTTTCTCCTTTAGTGTTTTAGAATTCCAGTCTAATGGAAAAGCTGGTATGATAAAAAAAGAATGTTGATGTAATATGGCTGTGCTTAATGAATGTTTAAAGGTGTCCCCTAGTAAATTGTTTATTAGTGTTCTTTATTATCTTCTTTAGTTTCCCTGATGACTGGCCATTGTGAGGTATTAGCCTTTATTGAACCAGAAGTACGCTCTTAAGTTGTCATGTGTTTTAAAATGTCCTGTATTCAGGTTGAGAGGTGAAGTTTTGGGTAATATGTATAAATGTTTTCTATGTAGCACAACCAAAGATTTCTTTGTTAGATGCCTAATAAATATCTTTCTTGGGAGATATTTGAACCCACTTGTGCCATTCATTTTGGCTAACAAACTATTTTAGTAATGATGGAAAAGCTGTCTTAGAAAATGAGTAAGGGTGTTCATTGTAGCTGAGTAGTCTGGGACAGTTTATATGGATGATAGGGTAAGTTTTAAGGTGCTCTCTTTTGGAAGTTGCATGCTATTTATCATGAGTAAATATTAATATTAGGGATGTTTCATTATTTGCCACATAGAATTTTGTATCCTTCTCTCAACACAGAGGCAGAGAATACTGCTGAAGACCTTTCATGCCAAATAGCTGACTTAGGGGTTGTAACTTTTTTCTGTGCCTCAGATCCACCATTCCATTGACCCTTCTTCCATTTCTTGGTGGCTGTCCTTTGGCGCTGGTGCCATGGTAGGTGTATGGATTGCTTTCTGTCTTTCAACAGTTACCGAAGTGCATGTTTGGGATTTTGTTGAAGAAAGCTGGATACAGTAAACGGAAAGAATCTTGGAAGATGCTTGACTGCTGTCTTTTCTCAGACTAGTCTGAAAGGGAAAACCCCATTCATTCTGGATTGGTGGATCTGAAGTACAAAATATTTTCCAGGTAAGCAATTACCCTGTATTGTTTTGTTTTGTGAAACTCACTTCACTGAAAGAAACTTGAAAAGGTTTTTTTTCTTTCTCTTCTATTACTAGGGGAAGGGATGAATATTAGATAAGTGTCCCTAGTATTATATTTGGATGTGGGTCAGTGATGGTATATGTAGCAGAATTGCTAGTAAAAACTTGGTTTCAATGTAAGAAGTGCAATGATAGGCCTAATTTTTAACCATAATCTTATTAGGGAATACAGTAAGTAGGTGAACTTTGGGGATTGGATAGCTTGTAAAGTACGAAAGAAAAATGGCCTTTTATTGTACCAGGGATCGAACTTAGGACCCTGCCTGGTCATTTTTAGGTATTATCTCACGTGATTTATAATTAATACTTGGTCAAAATAGTTTTGGTAGTCACAATGTAAAGTAGTGGTATTTTATCCTTAGGACTCTAGGAAGGTTTACAAACTGTAGCAAATGTTTACTGAGAACACCTGCTGAGCCACTGTTGTAAGCACTTTACATGTACTTGTTTAATTGGCATAGTGCTTTACTTGCATTTTTTTTAAAACAAGGTCTCACTGTGTAGTTCAGGCTGGTCTCAAACTCACAGTGATTCTCCTGCCTCAGCCTCTTAACTGCTGGGATTACAGATGTGCACCACCACACCCAGCTACTTATATTTTACAGGTAGTGGAATGAAGCTCATTAAGTATTAAGTAAGTGCACGTTGCTCAGGGTCCTATAGCTAGTAAGTGGCGAGACCAAGCTTTAAGTTTAGGTCTTTGTGTCCCCCAGATGGGGACCCTTATCTTACTACATTTGCTGAAGTTTTTGTTGTTGTCGTTATTTTGTTTTTGAGATGGGCCTTGAATGAATTGTGTAGCTAAGGCTGGTCTTGAACTGGCAGTAATCCTTCTGCCCCAGGCTCCCAAGTGCTGGGATTACAGGCATGTACCATCTCACCCGGCTGAAGTTTGTACTTTAATATCTGGGTTTTCAATTTGATTTCTTTCTCACTCTTTTTTTTTTTGGACAGTGTCTTACTGTGTAGGTTCAAAATTGTTATGTAGCCCAGGATGGCCTTGTGCTCATGATCCTCCCACCTTATCCTCTTGAGTGCTGGGATTACAGGTGTGTGCCACCACTCCTGGCTCAGTTTGATTTTTTTACAGTGGATTTTCAGTTGAAGAGCACATGGTGGTGGGTCATTGTTTGCCATGGTATTTTAATATTTGATGCTCTGCTTATGGAAAAATCAGAGGATCTTCACAGTCAGTTCATCAGTGAATATTAACGGTAATTGAGGAAGTTTAAGGAGGCAGTGCTTTAAAATATCAAAATGTGCTTTATATACGGGAGTATGGTTTGTCTTCGTGAGCTCAACTCTGTAGTTTCCCAGTACCTCCTTAGCATTTATTGGTTATTTAAATAGTTCATTAACTCAAGATGTGGACTTCTTTTGACCTGTGATTTGTCAGCTTTACAAGTAAAATATTGCCAGGCCACTATCTTAAAATATGGCCTTAATATTCTCTCCAGATTATTCTATACCCTATAATCTTTAAAAATTTTCTTTTTGTCATAGACTGACAGTGACTCTGTGATCCTTGGTTTAGTTTCATTCCTTTGTTCTTGCTAATATTTCTCCTAGGTGATGTTTTCACACTTGTCATTTGAAGGGCTGTCAGGGTTGGTGGGTGGTAGTGATGGTGGTGATAGTACTGGTAGAAATATTAGCAGTTAAGTATTCCTGGGCACATAGTCTGTATGGAGCATGATTCTAAGCACTTTGTAAACTCATTTTATCCTTATAGTAACTTGATGAGCTAGGTGCCTGTAGTTCTACTTCACTGATGAGGAAACTGGAAGAATGGTGTAGGTGGACAACAATGCCGAGAAAAAGGTGAGGTAGCACTCCTGTAGACTGAGGCAGGAAGAGTGCAGGTTTGAGCCCAGCCCAGACAATTTAGTGACTTAGATCCTGTCTCAAAATAAAAATAAAAAGGTCTGGGGATATGGAGATGTAGCACAGTGCGAAGTCCCTGGGTTCAGTTCCCAGTACCGCCAAAAAAGAAAAGGTCTGAACTGAAGTAATCTGGCTTCAGAGAATGTAAGAATGTGCTTTAACCTCTGTGCTATTCCAACTAGTTAACAATGTCATCCAATAGTAAATGAAGGGCCGCGGATTTAGCTCAGTGGCACTGCGCCTGCCTCTCAGTCATAAGGTCCTGCGTTTGATCCCCACCCCCCCAAAAAAAAAGACGAAAAGAAATCCAATAGGAAATGGAGAAGCAGAAATCCTGAATCCCTACAACTATATAGTTTTCTGGCTTTAAAGATCTCATTGCAAAAGAAAAAATTGTTGAGTACATGTTTCTTTCTTTTCATCAAGTTTATTGGTACTTTTTAGGTGTACAGTAAGTTGCATTCATCATTGGGATCTTGAGTACATGTTTCTTACCTTCTCTAGAAAACAGTCCCATTCTAAGGTTTTTATCTTAGCCATCCTAAGGGTATTTATTGGACATCCCAAGAGAACTTGGGAAATTGGTTAGTTTGAGATTATCTTTCAGAATAGTGCTGTGGGACAGTACTTGCTGTGATGATTGGAATGTTCAAATATCTGCATTATAAATTATAAATTTTACTGAATTATAAATTTTACTTAAATTTACATTTATGGGTTTTGTTTGTTTGTTTGTTTAGTTTTGGTACCGGGATTGACTCCAGACCTTGCGCTTGTGAGATCTAAATCCCCGGCCCAAATTTACATTTAAATAACCACATATGCAATTTAGGATTTACTGTTTTCCTGGGTTTGGTCTTGCTTTAGCATCCTCGGATATCTGGTCTGATCAGCATGCTCAAAGCAGTTCCTTTCTTATACCAGTGTTGGAACAACAGTAATCATATTTATGAGATTTATATATAAAAGCAGAATTCTAATTTATGAATTTATAATTATATATGTATATACATATATAAAATTTGGCATCTTTGTATATTCCTTTTCGATAGATTTGCATGTTTTTAATTTATATGCTTTTTAAAAATTAATTAATTAATTAATTACTTTTAAGACACAGTCTCACTCTGTTTGTTATTCAGGCTGGCCTTGAGCTCAGTGTGTAGCCCAGGCTGGCCTCAAACTCCTGCCATTCCTCCTGGATCAGCCTCCTCATTGCTGGGACTATGGCCCTTTATGTGCTATTTTAATTCAGAAGGACCTGAAGACTCAAGTCAAATCACTGCAGCACTCTCTTTAAGTAGGTTTTACCTACCGGGTAGCTAAGGAAGTATGATATCTGTGTGTAGGGCTGAAACCACTTCATTGAGTTTGTGATGGAGATGGATATTTTTTCTCGATTGGGAAACCTCTTCCTTCATCTTCTCTCCTTGTTCTTGCTTGTAATCATTTCTTTTTAGACAGGTTAGTACTTTCAGCTCTTGTGTTACAAGTATGGGAGGTTCTTTGTTTTCTTTAAAGTTCCTTCTTCACAACTATGATCCATTTTATGTCCCTTTTCAACACTAAGAAGGTAGTTTAAATTTCTTTGCTGCCCTGTGGTGTCTTTCTTAGCTTACTTGATTTGGTTGTATAATATATCGAATAGGAACATATTCAGAACACTGTACCTGATGTTGCATTCTCTTTGCATTACATCCTATTAAATGGAGCTTTTTTTAACTTTATCATTATTTTATGATTTGTTCTTCTGTTCTTGAAATTGAAAGAGTGGCTTAACTAAGTTTGTATTTTAGGAAATTAGGCTTGGTGGGTATATGTAGGAAGGATTGAAGAGACTGAAGGCAGGAAGACTAGTCAGTCAAGTGAGCAGTGGTGGTGGACTAAAGCTTTCATGATGTGAATAATGGGTAGGGATGAGAGGAATATAAAAAAGATGTGGGTGGTAGGAACTCAGGGATTGGTTTTAGCAGTAGGAGTGAAAAGGAATAATAGCACAACTTTTAAAGTTTTTGCCTTGGACACCTGGATGGATATCTGTTTTCTTCTCTAGTATAGGTGATACTAGAAAAGAAGATTGGGGAGGAGAAAGAATGAGTTCACGTTGGGTTATACAAATTTGACTTCTCTGTGGGTGAATACTGTTAAAGGGAGAAGTATGCACAGTAGTAGGAATGCTAGTTTAAAGCACACTAGAGAGGGTAGAGTTAGAAACAATTTTTTTTTAGCCTCAGCAGTACCTGACTTTTACTTAGTACATTTGCAAGATTATTCAAATGTAGATTGGAAGAATCTCTGTGTCAGTGTATAGGAATACCAACATAAAGAAATGGGATATAGCTGCAGGTTAGAACCTGAGATCATACATGATATTCACCAAGAGCTGTTTTTACTTCTGTCCTTTTCATCCCGGTCTGGGAATTCTGTTACAAGTAGCTAATACCCATTCCCAGTCAGCAAATTAGTTCATTGTGTTTGGGTTGTGATTTTTGTCTCTTACTATAATTGGTTAAGTAAGGCACAGTTTTTAAATTTTTTTCTTTTGTGGAATTGGAGGCTGAACCCAGCCATGTTCATAACCTTTCTTAAGTTTTATTTTCAGACTGGATCTTGCTAAGTCACTTAGTTGCCCGCCCCCCGGCCTTAAACTTGTAGTCTTCCTGCCCTAGTCTCCCGAGTATCTGGGATTAAAGGCGTGTGCTATCATACTCCGTTTGAAATATGTTTTTAAAAACTCAGTGTTGTCATTGCACATCTTGTATGCATTTACACAAATTCATTTCTATGCATCTGGTTACAAAAACAAGAGAAAAAGAACTTAAACAGAGGTGAGAAATAGAAATATGCCTTTCTTTCTGTCTGTCTCAGACTCCAAATGCTTTGCTAGCTGTGGTAAAGACACAATTTTACATCACAGCCTGAGCTGCCGGCTATTTTTTATTTGTAAAAGAAACAGTGAACTGTTCCAGTGTTGGAGTAAAAATTAGCTATGTTGGAGTTATTGAGGTGCTATTTTGGTCTCCAGTGTGACATGTCCAT